AACCCCAAAACCCCAAAACCCCAAAACCCCATCTCCCTGATAAATAGACTAAATTTAGATATATTTATAATTTATCAATTAAACTTGAAATGACTGAACGATAGTTTCTAGAGTAGGAGTGTGATACTTCTTATGATGTAAATTAAATGGATTCGTACCCTGATTTTCTTAGATAATCATTGCTTGAGTTAAACTATAAACATCCAAGCAACATTCAGAAAATAATTTATGAGACTTTTATAAAACCTAAAGGAGATGCAATGATCAATAGATAAAATCTAATAGCGTAATCATTGAATGGTAGCGGCAAAACTTTAGCATATCTCTCCTTAATGATTAGAAATATGATGGCGAGTAAAGTGAAACCATAATAAACTGAGTAATAGCCACAGATCTAGCAAATTAATTAAGAAATTTAGTATCAAGATTGCCACGTAATATAAGGATTGATCATTACTCCAACCCGAGAGATAGCAATGCAAGTCTAAGAATACCTTGACTTTCTGACGAAATCAACTGATGAAACATTAAAATCTAGATTGACTACCTTTTTAGTTATAGGAGGACTTGACATTAAAGAATAGAGAAGGAAGATATTGGTTAATAAGCCTAATATCATTATTGGCACACCCGGTAGAATAAAAGAGATGATCATTGATAGAGAATGGCTAAGCTTAACTGCTCTAGACACCTTGATCATTGATGAGGCAGATAAATTTTGTGTTCAAAATACTAATTATTATTAAAGTGATAAAAATAAGCAAGGCAAAAAAAACAATAACATGAATTAAGGGAAATTTTTTGAAGATCTAGCTTCTATTATAAATCTAATTGATGAGCAATAAGTTCAGATATGTGCTTTTTCAGCAACATTTAACAGCAACACTATGACTTAACTTAAAAATCTTATTAAAAAAGCAATAGTAATAAAGGCATAGTCCAATGATAGTCCCAAAAATGTAAAAGGTCTTGTAGATAAAGAAGAGTAGATCTTGAAGAATATCTAAAAAATATATATTTCTCTAAAGAGTAATGATTTCAACAGTAAACTTATTCAACTTGGAGAATTATTAACACAGTTAATGAACTAGAGCTCAGACTAGTAAATTGTTCTAGATTCAGCTAATTAGGAGTCTGAGAAATAAGTCTCATCTTAGATCATAATATTCTTTAACTTTAAGCATCAAGGAGAGTAGTTAGCCAAGTTTATAAGATCCAAGCTAAATCTTACTACTGTCTTCTTTCACGGTGATTAGAGCTAGGAGGATAGACTAAAAGCATTTGAGAAGATGAGATTAATGGAAATTAAAGTAATACTGTCGACTGATTTGCTGTCAAGAGGGATCGATTTGCCAGATGTAAAGACTGTTATCAATTTTGACATGCCTTTAAATGAAGCTGAGTTTAGACATAGAATAGGAAGGAGCGGTAGATTTGGTAGAGCAGGCATGTGCGTATCAATAATAAGTGAAACTGAACAAAAGAAGATCTAGTATATATCATAAATGATTCAGAGTTAGGTTATGATATAAGTAAACACATTGAACTTATTAGCAAGTCTAAAATCATAAACAACATCTGAAGATTAAAATGAATAGTTAATGGCAAAATAGAGACAAGAAAAGGAGGTCAAGCTGATAAAAAATCAAAAGCATATTGAGAAGAATTTTAGTCAAAAGTAACAGGATTATAAAAAGCAAAAGATCCTTAGCAAGGAGGGGAAAATGTCGGAGTGGCAAGATACAACCTATACTTTCTACGATGAAAATCAGTTTATGTATGTTGAGGAAAACGAAGAGGATGAGGAATTTAAAATGGATTAAGATCAGGAGATGATTGATGAATCTTATGAAGACTAAAATCATATTAAAACCTTAGCATAATTACTTGAACTAGATTCCTAGGACCTGGATGCTAATGAAAGTAAAACAAGTTAGAGTAATAGAGATGATAAAATTTAAAGTACTTAATAACTATAAACTGACAAAAAAAGCTTTTGTATAAGTGATTTGATACTTTTTGAAAGTGATTAATTCAAGGAATTCAAATAAAAGATCAATGATAAGATAAAGTAAGATTCCACTTTCAGATAGTTAGTTGATGAATTGATGTTTGCCAATTACTGCCAGTATAGAGATTATTATCAAGCCCTAATTAAAAATTAATGACAAAATTAATTTCAATTTCTTGAATAATCTGATGAATCAAATTTGTTATCTGAGGGGTTTTGGGGTTTTGGGGTTTTGGGG